AAAATTCTTTTGTTTAGGTCTTTTATTGAAAAACCGAAATAAACGAGATTTTAAATGCCATAGAATCAATATATTCGATTTTGCTTTTTGTTGTCTCGAGACCTTCTGACTCTTATAGAATTCCCCAATAAAAAGTGACTCTTCAAAGTTTTGGCGAAAGATATCAATCGTGAATTTTGGACGATATGAAAAATAAATTATGCGTTGCGTTGGACCTCTAAAGAAATGGCCTTTAAATAGTTCTGTAAGCTTTTAAAATAAATTTGATTGTTAGAAAACACATTAAATTGCACGCTGCAATCGAATTGGACCATAAGCTCCCAGGTAAAGCGTTGAGTACAGTCACGTTTACATAACGATATCTTTTCAAGTCGCCAAGTCGGGTTCAGAAAAATCAACGAAAATGCAGAACATTATAACTTGTATTGCTCTTATGGTTTTAGGTAAGTTAGATATTTTATTTTATTTATTTTACTTAATTCTGTATAATTACTGTATAAATTCATTAAAATATAATATAAGATAATAATTTGTTTTTAGATTTAATTTGGTATATAGATGTTTTATCATTCTAATTGTTTTTATCTATTAATCCATGGCCAATTTAATTCAAAACTTGTTCTGTTTTAGTGGAAGCTCTGTGTGTGAATGGCACCTCTACCACTGAAGTTGCATCTAACACTACAGAAACTCCTGTAAAATTAGCTGATATTGAGCTTCCAGAAGATATTAAAACTATTTTGCTATGCTACGAACAGTACCGGCAACTATGAAGACTTTTTATTGGAATTGGGCCGCGCTACAGGTTATAACGATTTATTAACTAAGTTGAAAATTGAAAGAAAAGACTTTACTGAAATGAAACTTGAAAGCCTTTTTAAAGATTATCTAGGTAAGTATTTTTCAAACAATATTTGATGTGAACTCTCTGAAAGGAATGTTAAGTGCACATTTTACATTGATTGATGATTTTTTGTAAGAGATATAAACATACTCTATAAACAATATTAGCTATGTGGACTCTCTGCAAGGGGTACCGAGTTGATAAACCTAAATGCCACATTAACAATATTAGCTATGTGGACACTCTGCAAGGGGTACCGAGTTGATAAACCTAAATACCACATTAACAATATTAGCTATGTGGACACTCTGCAAGGGATACCGAGTTGAAAAAGCTAAATGCCACATTAACAATATTAGCTATGTGGACACTCTGCAAGGGATACCGAGTTGAAAAAGCTAAATGCCACATTAACAATATTAGCTATGTGGACACTCTGCAAGGGGTACCGAGTTGATAAACCTAAATGCCACATTAACAATATTAGCTATGTAGACTCTCTGCAAGGGATACCGAGTTGATAACCCTAAATGCCACATTAACAATATTAGCTATGTGGACACTCTGCAAGGGGTACCGAGTTGATAAACCTAAATACCACATTAACAATATTAGCTATGTGGACACTCTGCAAGGTGTACCGAGTTGAAAAAGCTTAATGCCACATTAACAATATTAGCTATGTGGACACTCTGCAAGGGATACCGAGTTGAAAAAGCTAAATGCCACATTAACAATATTAGCTATGTGGACACTCTGCAAGGGGTACCGAGTTGATAAACCTAAATGCCACATTAACATTATTAGCTATGTAGACTCTCTGCAAGGGATACCGAGTTGATAAACCTAAATGCCACATTAACAATATTAGCTATGTGGACACTCTGCAAGGGGTACCGAGTTGATAAACCTAAATACCACATTAACAATATTAGCTATGTGGACACTCTTCAAGGTGTACCGAGTTGAAAAAGCTTAATGCCACATTAACAATATTAGCTATGTGGACTCTCTGCAAGGGGTACCGAGTTGAAAAAGCTTAATGCCACATTAACAATATTAGCTATGTGGACACTCTGCAAGGGGTACCGAGTTGATAAACCTAAATACCACATTAACAATATTAGCTATGTGGACACTCTGCAAGGTGTACCGAGTTGGAAAAGCTTAATGCCACATTAACAATATTAGCTATGTGGACACTTTGCAAGGGGTACCGAGTTGATAAACCTAAATACCACATTAACAATATTAGCTATGTGGACACTCTGCAAGGGGTACCGAGTTGA